ACCCAATTTATTGCTTGAATTATTTTCAAATAAATACTTTTGTTCTAAATACCTCTATGTAGTGCAAGGAGCTTTTTTTTTTTTTTTTTTTTAGCTGCACTATGCAATGAAAAAAATGAACTTTGGCAGCATTTGCAGCTTTTATGTTCATTGATGTTCAGATCACAAACAATCCAATGAAAAGAAGTTAAACATCTCAAAGAAGCTGGATATATGTTTGTAGGTACCTTAAGAATACAGAAGGATGATCCTGCTTTTATTATCTATCTTTCCTGCAAACAGCACTGAATTTCAGCCTCCTTGGAAGCCTTAAATTCTTGGAGACTTGTTTTAGAGCTTTTAGCACTTAGAGGGTTTTTGAAAGTTCACAAATTGCCTCTAACTCGAGAGAGTTAAAATGTTATCAACCTGCTAACCAGGCACTTTCAGGGGAAAACCAAAAAGCTGCTGTTGTGCAATTTCATTAATAAAAGCTATTCAGCACGAGTATACCCAGCTTATCAAATGTCTGTCTCGTTTTACTACACAACTCATTTTAACTCCTCTCCTCTCACCCTGCAAGCCCAAACCCCCACTGCTGCCATGAATATCAGCATCTTTTTGCCACTCTAACTCCCAGAACATGTGGAGTTTCCAAGTACCCTGCACTGCCCCAACTCAGCTCTGGCTCAACTTGCCCTAATTGTTCCTTCTTGGAGGAACAATCTCTATAAAAAAATCAAAAAATGCCTCAAAGCATACCTTGATACAACAGCAGCCACAACAAGCATTCTTTGGATATTCCAGCCTCACCCACCCAGGAAAGGTCTTGTAAAAGTCAGGGAATTAAGCAAAACATAGTGGGTCAATGATGTATTTTAAAATAAAGTGTAACCCACAGACTTTAGGGCAGGTGGACGGGAAGAGAAAGGCTGCCAAGCAAAATAGCCACCGGTTTCTTATGAAGTAAATATTCCCTCCTGGTTCTCAAAATTGGCTGGCAGGTGAAGCCCAAAACAAACCACTGCATAAACCAACATTATTAGTATCCAACTGTGCCATCAGAAACACAGACCAATTGCTATGACAGAAGGGGGAGATTATAATTCAGGATTTTCCCCCTTTAGCCACTCCATAAAAAGTGGGTGTAGTAGGGAATGAGTACAGAAAATAGGCTGTGCACATTCAGTGGGGAAATCACTTCAGCACAACAGCCCAGGATGAAAGGAGCTGTGACACTTGCAAAGAAATTCAATTCACTCAGCAACATATAAAAATCTAACGTCAGTTCTTTACTGACACCTCCTGACATTCAATCTCTACACCACTGCTGAATGGAGGAGAGGCAAACTGGGCCATACACACAGTACATCTGAGAAAGCCTTTTCCCCTTCCAACCTATGTAAATCACAAATGTTAATTCTAATGGCACAGACCAGCATGGCTGTGTACATGCACTTACACCGGAATTCAAAACAATACCATATGCAATAAAAAGACCATCTAAACATTTGTTCATGAGACAGTATTCTGTCAGAAGAAAGTATAGTTGCATAGAGAGTTAGAAAGTACATGATACATGCTCAGGTGAAGGAATAAATGAATGAAATGCAGTAATGTGAATATATATTAAAAAAAAAACAACCCCGGCTGATGCAGACCTTCAGTGTACATTTTGGGAAAGAAAAATAAAAAAAGGAAGAGCACAAACACAAATACTCAGTGAGACAGCACTAGGTGGCTACTTCTTGCTTAAGCAGCATTCTACATGGCAAACCTGTCAAATAAGCCATGCTCTTCGAGATGGAAATGGCCATGGCATAGGATCAGTAAGCAAGTGAGGCACTTGGAAGGATTTCAAGAGAAACTTTCCTTTAGAGCTTGTTTGGACCCACAGCAAATTCTCCTTTCTCTAACACAACCCACTCAGAAAAAATGCATGAAACAAAGAAGACCAGGAAAATTAGAATGAATGGGTTTGAAAGCTGAATAGTTTGATAGAAGATCTTAAACTTACAGGTCCCACATTCTTCTCGAACATTCTGAGTCTTCTTGTCCATATGGATAATACTTAATACTTCAAGTGTGACTGCCAATTCTTATACAGGTCTCACATCTGTTTGGTAGTTAAAACAGGTGTTCAAGCTGGCAGCTAACATTATTTTCTGAGATTATTTTGGGTCCGTTACATGGAAATGATTATAAATCACATGAATAGAAGCCTGAACATCATCAAACCCAGGGATAAACATTCCAAAGGGACAAGAAGGCAAACAGTAGAAAAATCTGTAAAGACAAAACTTGCCCAAACCTCAAAAAACCAAAGCTGTAACTCACATATGGCAGGGGATACAACCACACTCGCAGTATCACCACAGAAAAATGGATTTACAACAGCTCATTTACGATATTCTAATTACTGTTCTTTCAACTGGTCTGACAATAACTTGCTTTTCTGTAGGTATTCTGAAACAGCTAAAGATGATGCCAAGCACATACTCTCTCCTTCCCACAGCAGTGAATTTATCCCCATATATCATATGAAATTGATGAACATCTATTATTTATCCAATGCAAAGACAAACAAACACAGAAGGAGGAATGAGAAGAAAAGTTTTTTCTACAATCTTATGGGTACTGTGCAATACCAGTACACAAAATGTAGATGTTTCTCACTTAGTCCCCCCACATTTCCACTCCCTTTAATCTGGCTTGCTAAGGAAAGAGGGATAGACAATTCATCTGTGTATTGGTGGTTGTTTCTGCTGAACTAATAATCTATGAATCTCCATACAAATTTCAACCAGATTTAAGCAAAGGGTAGAAACCATAAGACCACTGTGTTCCTACAAATTTTGCCAAATCAGAGATCTGAGAGGAAATCCTACACTAGTTCAGTCAAATAGAGGAAAAGTTGCAGTGTGTGCTCCAGCTTTTTAGGCTCCCGTGGAGGAACACTGGAGAGAGTGCTACCACTTTGAGAAAAACCTCAGTTAGGATCCAAGTGTTGTTGCATAATTAAGAACCCAACCAAAAGACACACATCCTTAGACAAACAGGTTTCATTATTTCTGGAGCTCAAGAAATTGCTTGTTTCCATGCTCATAACTTTGAAGTGCAAAAGTTCACATAGATCAAAGGGAAGACTTTTTGCATGTTTCCCCACAAAGCCCCTATGAACATCCTGGCTCTGACTTCACCACTCAGACCAGAAAGACAAGAAATTTGCCAATGCAAAGGAAAAGCCAAATGAGAAAATATCTGTTTTGCTGGATGCACAAAATTTCAAAATGCCATCTTTGGCATTTCATCAGAGCAAAATACAATATTCTACCATGAAAACACTACTTCTGCAAAGGTCTTCACTGTGACCCCATTAGTTTTTAGTTACTGCCAGAAGGATCCAACTCAGGAGATGTCAAGTGTGCATATCTGTTGTTCAACACAGTATTTTAAAATAAACAGTTCAAATAATTACAGTTTTTGCACAGAAGCAGCACCTGTGTTCAGAACAGCTCTGTTAGGCAGCAAATGCCTAGAAGAGGGCCAAAAAAGTAATCTTAACTTTTGAATACATGTAGTCAACCATATCTGAAAACACATCTAGAACATACACATACAGCCATGGTAGATACCTTCAGCATCCACTGCACATGGAACAAGAACAGCATAACATAACTTTATAAAGCTACAGTGAAATTGTTACATGAGTTAATGTCATAATGCACAATGATAGCATGCCATGTCTTCAAGTATGAATGAGGTGTATTGGATACATCCAGTTACTGCCACAGGAATATAACTAAAACTGAAGAATTTCAGAACCTTACAGAAGGCACTAAAAACTGTAACATCATCCCTTTGAAGCACATCTATTTGCTTTCTCATGTTGTGTGTGCAGCAGAGTGAATAATCAAGTAATTAGATTTCTGACCTATCAAAAGGACCATTTTATAATTGAAGTACATAAATGAGAGGTGGTTGAGCATACTGCCTGTAAATAAACTATTGCAATCTTTCTAAAATAATGAGGCCTTAAACTGTTGAAACAGCAGAAGTACTTGCATGAAATATTAATAACAAAGCAGTGAGACATGCTCAGAATTGATAGTGAAACCAAGAAGCAAATGTACAATTAAGCAAATCACTTCGCAGAAAATTTTCTGCACAGTTGAATCAGCTTTGGAGCACACAGAAGAGTCACAAAGCAGCCAGGACAGTAGTGGCATTCTCCTCTGGCCCCATCAAGCACTTTTGGTTGTTGTACTGTTTCCTGCGGACAGACCTAGGATGGGTGGGGAGGAGATGAGGTTGTGTAATCTCACCACCACCATCCTCTACTGCAACACCAACTGTGGGTAGCCTCCCCAGCATCAAGGTAGGAGATAACCTTCCAGCAAAAGACAGTGACAGAGAGAAATCAAATGTTTCAAATACATTTTCTATAGTTTCCTAATACAAAATGTTCACATGAAAATGCAAATATACTAGCTCTTGTTTGGTACAGACAGAAAATTTTAGAAAAAGACAAAACCATTTATACCACAATGGGTTTTGAGCAGAATTTCCTATTCAAAATGGTAATTGACAAAGTGTTTCAATAGACTTCAAGCTTGGTACATCTGCTCAGCCACTAGCAACCAGTCCCTGCTGAAACCTTGCTGGAGTGTACTAACACTGTGCCATACTTCACTGTAAAGGGTTTGGAAAGACAAAATAGGAAGGTGTAAAAATTCTGAACACTGTGTCACAAAATACATAATTAAAGGCTAGGTTTTGCTTCACACGCTTTAATGCATCTAAACAACATGAAAAAAACCCAGTTAATGCTCAGGGCAAGTAACTGGCAAAAGCAAAGCAGTTAAGAAACACAGCAAGCATTATCAATTCCCTCTTCTATATATGTGTCATACACACAACTTGATTTTATGAATTGCTGTGTACGTGTTACATTTAAGAATTGAAAACTTTCACACAAAAGCTGGAGGAAAAAGGAGTATGAATGCAGCACTAGTACTTACCCTTATATCTCCATTTACAGCTCTGGAAGTATGATTAAATGCATGTGCAGGATCTTTGTTGTAAACTTTAAGGAAAGATCGGTCTTGAATATTCCTGGAATCAAAAGAATCAGCAATGACAACAGATGAAAGTAGTTTTATTTACTTTGTTGCCTGAAAGTTTCAGGTAACAGACAAACATAGCAGGTCTGCAGCTGATCTATAAGGAAAACGCAAATGCCATAACTTAGGACACACAAACAAACAAAAGTCTACTTTGATTCTTTTTCCCATGGGAAGTATCATACTTTCGCTATAACTCCACACCCATAGAAATTAGGGAGTTTTAAGTTTCTTTCAAGATCTTGCCATAGAGTGAAAACACTTTGAAGACAATAGAGCTTCAACATTTACACAGCACTCAAAAGGATTTAGTTAACATTTACATGTTTTATTGTGCACTCAGCCCACATGAATTTTTGCTATTCTAAGAAGCAGGAATATCAAAAGGAATGCAGCCTTTCTAACTGCAAGGAAATTTCAATTATCAGCTTGCTCACAAACCTGAAAAAAAATCCACTAAAGCTAAAAATTCAGAAGCAGATAAATTCTTCCTCTAAACTTTATCTATAATAAAGGTAGGTTTTTAAGGGAAAAGAAATTAAGTATTACAGAAGCAAATAAATTTGCAGAAGTTTTGATGAAAGCTACCACAGGAATTGTTTAGATGAAAAGCCCTAGAAGAATACTGTTGTTTAATTAGAACCCTACACTTTGTCATTATTAGTTCATTTTTCAACTACTACATTTAGTAAAGAGTCAGATGACAGTATTTTTCTATTTTGTTTCATAACCTACCTTCGAATAATTTCATGGCTTAGACATTTGCCCTGAGATCTGCTGATTTCTTGTTCACATTTAATCAGTAGCAAAGTCTCCAATCTATGCTCATGTACATCCTTTCAAAGCTGCAACTCGTTTCATTTCCCAGTAGTGATCTCTAGAGAATTTACTTTCACATGTGACTGAATTCCTTTCCTCCAGGTGCAGCTACAAGTCTAGCGAACAGATCTTAATCACTTGGATTATCATTTAGAAATGAAGGAAAGGATTCTTGGGCAGGTCCAATTTCTTTCTTACAATGTCATATTACAATCAGTGACTGCTTTGAATGGGTAGCTAGTCAGAACTTGTACTGATGTTGTAGATGTCAAGTACTTATTAAAGAAACCCCACAGCTTAAGAGACAGATCAGCACCTTCTGTTAAAGAACTGGAGGGCTGATGAGAAGTTCAGTATTTATGAGTGTTTACTTGTAGACTGCATAGGAAAATTGCTACCTTGCGGCAAGTTCAAGTTCTTCAATTATTTATGGTAACATAAACTGTTTTCCATCTTGCAAACGTGACCCTTTCTCTCTGAGATCTGCACCAGGAGTCTCAGTTACCATTTTCTGCCTTGGACTTGGAACTATGTTCTTTTTGATACAAAGCAAGCTCTCTCATCTTCACTTCAAGAAATGGTATATTATTCATGTAAATACATTTTATCTGCTCTCTTTTCTGTCTGGTGGCTATGAGATGGTACCTCAGCTAGCTGGAGTTTGTTTTAAAAGCATTTTCCATAAATATTTCTTGTAGAAACATGACACTTTAAAGTAAAACATTGCTGCAAGGCAAAGCACCAAAACACTAGGCATTTGCTCTCTGAAGTGAATTGTATTTCACCTCATGTTGCTATTCTAAGATAGACATTACTGATAACAGGTATATATTACTGTACTTTTATTATTACTGTAATTTGCATTACTGTAACTTCCAGATGCCCTTGGCATGTTCAAAGGCCTTACTGATCTGTGTGTGCTGGATAAACACCCCAGGAATACAACCTCTTCATCACCTTACAAGGTGAATAGAAGTCACAAAAGACAACAGGATAGTTGCTGAGAGATAAGGGAACAAAAAGAAATTAGATGACCGTGTCTCTCCAGCCAGAAGAGCAATAAACAGATCCTGGGACCACGGACAAGCTCTGAGCAGGCAGTGCAGCAGAGAGAGTGGGAGGAAGACCAAGGCAGTGGCTTTGTGGAAGTCTGTGGAGGACACCTTCCAAGCAGGCTGCCTGAGAGAGAGAGAGGGTGAAGGCACTTATTTGAAAATTAGAGACATGTAGAATTCAAGCTGGCATTATTCACCAAGTGGAAGCAGATGGTACTTGGTACTGAACAAGAAATGAAAAGTAGTGTTGAAGAGGGTTTGGATGAGCCTTCATAATGAAGACAAGTAGTTTCTATTTAATGAGCTGCAGAAGATACAGCCAGAGGACAAATGAAAAAAACACATGTGAAACAGTCTGTTTGTCAAACTGGGAGAATCATCTTTGTTGCTTCATTTGAATGGGTAAGAGTGAACAAGATTACCTATTACCTGTGTCGATTGCTGAGAAAAGACCATTAGAGCAGTTGATATTAAAAAACTGATGAATTAATTGAGTGTTTTTTCACTACGTGATGGGAAAGGAAAGGCTGTGCCATAGGGGTGTTCTGCAGAAAATATCTGAAATCTACACTGGATGCAAAGCCATGAACCACTTTAAGAAAATGGTCAGGCTTAAGTAGAAAGACAGTGCTTTGTCCCCAGTGATTTAATTTAGTAAAGAATAAAATTAAAAAGAAGAAGAAAAAGAATGGAAAGGAGAAAGAGTATGATGGCCTAAAGCAAGGCACAGAGAAACATGAAACAGCCTCCAAGGGAGGTGGAAAGCTTAAAGAGTTGACTGAAATACCTGTGTTTAAGATAAGGAAGACAGAAGAGAATTGAAGGAAGACATGGCAAAGAAAAGGAGAGAAAAATGATGCTTCATTTCATCTGCTCTCTGAGGGAAGACACTGGCAAGATCTTGTGAAGAGCAAGGAACAGAAATGGAGAAACTGCTGTGGAAATTATTCAAAGGTGATGAAAATGCAGCTGGTAGTGCATGCTTTTGACTCCATTAAGCTGGAATTGCTGAGGTTTCCTTAGTGAGAAGGGTGGCAGAACTGAAGGAGGGAATTTTGTTATGGAGGAAGTCAGCTGGGTCATGGGATTTCCTCTAGAAATGCTCTACAATGCAGGCATAGGAACAGAGGAAGCAGATGTTGGGATTGAGTCAGGCCTGAGGTTGGCAGAGCGACGCCTGCAATGGGAGCAAGGGAAAAAAAGGTGGAGTGGCATTAAGATAATCAACAACCACATTCTCCAGGGCAGGGAGGAGATGAAGTCATAAACTGTTAGTCTGAAACTCAAAGGAAGATGGAGGGATAAAGTGAAAGAGAAAGAGCTGATGGGCCAGGTGATGGTTGGCAATAATGCACTTTGCAACAGAGATGCAGTAATCCCCATCTTGATTCAATCAGTTGATCCAATCTTGTGAACAAACTGTTTGATGTATAAGAAACTTGGATACATGATGAATGATGATGATGATGCAAGAAATCAGATGGGTCTTCACATAGGCAATACAGTGGCCAAACAGGGGTGTGGAAGTCTGCATAGAAAGGAAGATTAAAAAACAGAAACTGAAAAGCAAGAGTCTGGCTAATGACTAGACATGGGATAGACAGCCTGAGGAGAGCAAGACAGAGGTGAGAAAATGGAGTGTGGTGCTGTTCAAAGACCAGGAATGGGGGAATTGGATGTGCAAGGCTCGAAAAGGTTCAACTTCCTCTTTTAACTACTTTTATAGTAGTTAACTGCTCTTTTAAACTCTCATATGGAGAAATACCTGAGCCACAGGATCTCCAGAAGAAACAAGGCAGCAGTGAACAGTACACTTGTCATTTCCACATCATTTTCCTGTGCTAGTGGCAGACTAACAGAGAGCAAACACCTTTTCTGCTTTCACCTTTATTTTCTTATGCTCCTCTGTCCATTTTTATCACAGTTTTAGAGGGTAACATGTCTGAGGTGTGCCTGAAAGCTTTATTGATGCATGATTTGGCACTTTCTAAGGACCCTGAGACCCTGGTTCTTCTGCTGAAGGAACATGGTGGACTACACAGCTGCACTGCCACAAAATAAAGGATAGAAAGGTGAACCATTTACTGGCCAAGCTTTGAATTAGTGAAGGGAAGTGACTACATTAGTTGCTGCATTCTGACATAAAACAGGAAGGCAGTGGAGCTGCTGGAGCAGCAGCCCCCAGTGCCACAAAGCTTTGGCTGTGTTAGATGATGCACAATTGGCACTGTTGTAAGGACATTGGTGGCATTCATGTTTCTAACTTCAAGTTCGTGGGATCAGGCTCTGCACTACAAGCAAAGATAAAACTCAGGTTTTCTGTAAATGTTTCTTTTGAATTCTGTATTTTAAATGATTATGTCTAAATTCAAATTCCATAAGCATATTCAAGATATGAACCTTTGTGTATTATATGAATATTTCAACAAGGTATGCCATTTATAAATGGCTTGTGCAATGGATATTGCACCTACAACTGAAGGCATTGTCTGTCCAGACCTCCCACATTGCTTGGATACCACTGAACATGCCTTTATGTGTCAGGCCACTCTCTGTCAGATACTTATCAACCCCACTCCTTTTTGTTTTATAACTGCACTACAAAACAAAATCCACGTAAGAAACCCAAGCCAACAAAACCAGCAGCTGTAATTCCATGTTTACTTACCTCACATCACACAATTCATAGTATATATTTCTGCTCTCATCCTTGATGTAAATGGCGACACTAGGTGATTCCAGCATTTTCATTGTCAGCTGCTGGGGGAAGGCACTTACAAAAAGGGCACGAATTGTGTCTGTGCTTGTGATTTCATTCGGCATCCTCAACTGCTTTGTTTCGTCTCCATACTGAAGATATAATACACCTATAAGCAAATGTAACAGCAAGTTACATATTCTTAAGTGCACAGTAATGATCTGTTTTCAAAGCCTGTGTGGAACACAGACCAACCCCATAATGAGAAGAGAAAAATCAACTCATATGCCTTAGAAAATAAAGCACATGAAACATATTCCTTTTCAACAGACTATTGGAATAGAGCACAGAACAATGATATGGTTGTGCCTTGAAAAATGTCCTAGCCCCATTACTCAGAAGCCTTTTAGTGTTCTTCAGTTAGATAAATCAGAAGTTTATCATAAGAAGGCTAATGGAAAATCCCAAACACACCGTCTGCTCTGCACTGAAAGTTTTTGATAAATCACAAGATATCTTTTTTAAAGTAGTTGAGGAAGAAATTTACCATTTTATAGCACCCAGTTTTCCTTAAACCTGAATTTTGCATTTTAATCTCACATTTATCAACAAAACCCAAAAACCTCTGGATTTTCATTTTAGCACTAGGCATTTTATATTCACAGTTCAATTTGTTGGCATTATATAGTACAAATCCCAGGTGAAACTCCTAGTAGGAGTAAAACCGAGGTTTCACTGAGGTCTCAGACAAGAACAAGAGCAATTTTGGATCCTTTCAGTTTCATAGCACTGTTAATAGTCATTCTTAGCATTTGGGGAGAAACATGAGTAATCTTAGATGCTGAATTGCAAAACGTGGACATTCTTATTCACTTCAATACAGAAAGAACACCATTCTGATATAGCTATTTTCAAGGAATGGGAGGCTGTGAGATATTCAGTCAGTAATGGAAAGAAACATGGATAACACAAACCAGAGACTGAGGGAAGGGATACAAAGTACCTCTTCCACAATGCGTGTGTTGGCTATGCCAGTG